ATTGTTATTATTATTATTATGTTATTCATTGTTGCTTGTTCTTTTATAGTGTTTTTGTATTTTACAGTACTGTGCAAAAGTTTTAAGCATTTAAAAAGTTATATTAAAAAGCTTCTGTTTGCACTTCTCAGTAAATCCACCAGGTTGTGCTGTTTACCAAGTTATCACAGTGCTCTGATGCTAATGGCCTGTAACATCAATGATCTGCTTATATAGAGAGGTATGGAAAAATGGAAAGAGGTATGAAAAAGGTGAAATGACATGTTTCTAAGTGTAGAAACATGAGAGAACACATTTCTGCACATTTTAATGCACAACTGTGTTGTTACATTTTATGGTTTATTGCATAAGTGCATGTTTTCCAGTGCTTCCATGATTAAAACACAGACTAGAGCCTTCCATTGAAAGAAGACTGCCAGACATGCAAGCAGGATTGAGAAAAAGAAGAGAAAGAGATATGCTGATTTCCTTGTAAAGCTGCTTTGTGACAACACCTGTTGTAAAAAGCGCTATATAAATAAACTTTACTTACTACTTACTATATAATTGCTTGAGATAACTAAACAAAGCCCAGGAGTTCAAGAAGAAACTAACCATGTGTTTAATTGACTACATCAAAGCCTTCAACTGTGTAAATTTTCAGACTGGGTCTACCAGAGTGTCTCATTGTTCTAATGAGGAACCTCCATGACACAAAATGGACACGCAGACTGGTTCCACACTGGCAAAGGGGTAAGACAAGGTTGCACCCATCACCACACTTGTTCAACTTCTATGCTAAACATATAAGAATTAAAGCAGGACTGGAAGAAGATGATCGGACCTCTAAGATTGAAGGAAGAAACATTAATAACTTTGGATCTCTAAACTTTGGATCAGTCATGGGCTGGAGGTTTGGGAACCAGCCTTGTGACTGGAGGTCGCTGGTTTGATCCCCTGAGCCGACAGTACGTGACTGAAGTGCCCTTGAGTAAGGCACCTAACCTCCAACTGCTCCCCAGGCACCGTGGATAGGGCTGCCCACCGCTCTGGGGAAGTGTGCTCACTGCCCCCTAGTGTGTGTGTTCATTAGTGTGTATGTGGTGTTTCACTGCACAGATGGGTTAAAAAGCCCCTGTGTGGGACTAATAAGGGTCACTTAATTTAATATGCTAATGACACAACATTAATTGCGAATATCAGGACGACCTGTAGACTCTTGTAATGGAAGTTAAGTGTGAAAAACTGGAACTTAAGCTTAAAATAAGGAAAATAAAGATTAAGACAAAGGAAACGACTGCTAATGTTACCATGTTGGTGAAGACGTTTGCATGAACCTTGCATTGCAAAGAAAACAAACAAATGGATCCTTGACCAAATCAAGTCGAGATACCCAAACTGAAGCTCTCCTATCTTTGACCTGTAATATGAGAAATAATCAGTTAATTGGAAAAGGCAATAATGCTGGGAGACAATCAGAGGAATCCTGAATAAGCCATTCAGAAACCTACTGAATTGACGATGTAATGCTTGGTGGAAATGGCCTTCCATCCAAAAAGCGTGTGAAGTTTATTTGCATAAAGGTTTTCAGGAGAAAACACGCTAAACTGACCATCCCCACTGACACAGTGTCAGAAGATTGCCAGTGATTTGCCCCTTTTCAGTAAATTAGATATTGATACCTCTTATTCTCGAGGGCATATTTTGGTTTTTCCATCTGAATTTACATTACAAGATCGTAAGGCAAATTATTGAGTAACTGCATGAAATTAATGTAAATTTTTATATTTATTTATTTTTTTGTAAAAGCTCCCCTCAAATTAACAGAACATGTGTTTTATGATACACATATTGCTATATGCTTACAGTTTACTACTGAAAGCCAAAAATCTTAGACACTCTTTGTATTTTCTTTTATATAAATAATGTTTACAGAGCAGATCACTGAAGAGACGCCATCTGTTTATAGTTTATAGCCCAGATTTGTGAAAAATGGGTCGACTTTCAGTAGAAAAAAAATTGTGGGTTCAGCTTCTTTTATTATAAGGGTTTAAAATGACATCACCCATCTATTTGACTGGAAAGAAGACAGTTACAGCTCTCATATGACCCCCACCTTTTGAACGTAGCTTATGAAATATGAAAGTTATGAAGAATATGACGAAGTGCATCAAGGAGTTAAAAAGGTTAAGACTTGAATAAAATCTCAAATCTCTACCGGAAAACAAAATTACTTATTTCATTCTGCAATTTTATTGAAGATGCTGAAGAACAGGTTAATAAAGAAAGTTTCATATTGATTACAGCTTTCATGGCAATAAAGCAGCTTCTTTTAACTGTAGTCATAAAATGCAATTTCCACCTGTTTTGATCTTTCAGATGAACCATGTGTTTCTTTTCTTCAGCAATATTAATGGAAAATATTTGTATGATGGAAATGTGTGATTTACTACGGAGCCCTGCTGGTGACATCCTGTATAAATGAAAGTAATGCTTGACTACGACTCAGTAAGGAACAAGACAATTAAGTCGTGGCCACAGCAGTTAGAAGGTTTGCTGTGCTGCTCCGTCCAAACAGATCATAACATGTTGTTTGGCTTCTTACGGGAAAATTACTGAGTGGTTCAGGAGTAATTTTTACAGCATTGTGTTGTGATATGTATCAATACCACTATATTTAAATGAAATAATTGTTTTGTCATGTGGTAAAACTCACTGGTCCTTCTTGTTTATAAATATAATCATAAATATATCAACAAACATGTTACCGCCACAGTAAATCTGGCTCTGTGTTTTTATGAATCTGTCTTGTTTCATAAAAAACTAAAACCAAGTAGATAATAATAGATTGAAAAATGTAAGAATGTTCATTCTCTCATTGGGTGAGGTTGTTTGAGGAAGGCTTTAATGGCCTGCTTTGGCCTGTGGTTCTCTTTCTGGCCAGTGCTGGTATTGATCATTCTCACTGAATTAATAACATGATGCAAAACTACATTTAGTGTTGGGAGACATCTGATTAACTGTGAAGCTGTGAAAATCAGAAAAATGTAGTTGGCCACATTTCAGATTTGTGGTGTGTTGATAGAACCACAGTTTGTCCAGATCTGTGATGATGATGATGATGATAATAATAGCTTCTATGAATATTAGCATCTGTACATTAACAGGTACAACAGCATTCTGAGAATGACGATTCTTCAGAACACAAACAGACAAAGTCGTTATCATAACAGAAATATATAAACAGATAAGCATGTGATGTATCTTTGTGGGATCTTTGCACGCAAGATAATGCAACCCATTTTCCAGAACTGTTTCAAACTGAATAACTCTAGTTTTGATTTTTATCAAAGATTTTATCATACCCTCTTTAAATAGGGTGACAAGACAATTTTCAGTAAAATATTGATATGGCCATGTACTTGTGCTGTATGAAGAGGGCATAATTGCAAATATTGCATTATAATTTCACACTCTAAAAACTGCTGGGTTATTTTTTTTACCCCAAATGCAGGGTTGAGCCAGCTGGGTCATTGTGTTTAGTTATTTTGACAGTGCTGGGTAGTTTTTCTGTAGTTTCTGGGGAGACAAGCTACTGAGTTAGTGACAATAACAACACAGCTAAAGGATTCATTTTCAAATCATAACATAAACATAAACTAGCCAAAACAAATTTACTATAAAATGAAATATTGTTTGTATAAATTCAGAAAAAAGACCCATCAGTCACAACTGCATATGTGTACATATTGCTATATTGTGGTCTGTTTACACAAAGTTAGGTTAGTTCATCATTTATGTTGAATAGACACTCCCAAAATTTCTACCACGTCATTGGCTTCCACCTTGCTGTGGGGCGGGAGTTTGCATCTTTTAAGAGGAGAATTATTTTGCTTTTGGCAATTCTCAGAACAACTGTCCACCTTTTTCCAACCCCCTTCGCCCACCACAGACCCCAACACCCCCATCCCCCCAACCGGCACATTCACTTTGCGTCTATTTAAGAGGAAAGTGATTAATTATCGGCGATCTCTGGAGCAACTATCCATCCTCTCTCCAACAAAGCAGGTCCCGGCTTTGCAGCTACAACAGCTTAGATAGCACTTACAGTTGACAGGGGCAGATCTAGCAGGACAGAAATTTCACAAACTGACTTGTGGTAAAGGTGGTACCCTATGACAGAGCTATGTTTAAAGTCACTGAGCTGTCCAGTACGACCCATTCTACTGCCAGTGTTTGTCTAACGAGACTACAAGGCTATGTGCTTGATTTTTATTCTCCTGTTAGCAATGGGTGTGGCTGAAACACCTGAATTCAGTAATTAGGAGTCCCAATACCCCTTTTTGTCCATAATAAGGTGTTTTGGGTTGTTTGCTGAAGTGTTTTTCATGTATATTTTATCTAAATGTTGTCATTTTTTCATTCTACAGTTTGGAACAAACATGCCTGAATATCAACAGCAAATCGAGAATCTTAAATATTAATAAGGATGCGATTTTAACAGTGAGCAGTATTTTTGATGCTTTTATTTAAGAACAAGCAAACAAAAAATCTCAGACAGTGACCCAGTAAGAGGGTTAACTGAACCCAGCGCTAGGTCAAAGTAACCACATTTTAGAGTAACTCTAATGACCCAGCCTTTTGGGTTCTTCATGAAACTCAGCGATGATGGGTCAGATTAACCCAGCATGTGTTCTGCTGTAGACTGACCCAGCACTGGGTTATTGATGTGACCCAGATTGGGTTGTTTTTAACCCAGCATTATTTTGAGTGCAGGTAAAACTGTAATTGTGATTACACACACACACACACACACATCATCTAAACCACTTATCCTTCTGGGTCGCGGTGGGGTGCTGGAGCCTATCCCAGCTGTCATTGGGCCCAGAGTTGTTAATAGGAATGAAACAGGTAATACTTCATACTGATGAGGCATCCACTGACTCTGAACTCACCGAGGGGGGTGGAGTGAGACGCCTACTGTATGTTTTACCAAAAGAGAAAGCATTTCTGTCCCTGGTACGACAGGTTCATCTTGATTGTAGCCGTGGATTTCAGCTATGTTTTCTGTCATGGTGTATATTTAGACTCATTCGTCTCGTCAGGAGCTGTGTCAGACACAGCACTAGTGGCGCTTACAACCTGGTAAGACATTTCTTCCTTTAAAACAGACTTTTTCTTTTGTTTTAGATTTTAGACGTTTTAGATTATATGTTAAAAGTCCTTTACCAGACCGGTCCAGCAAAGATTGCTTTCCTTCTGAACTGAAAGGAGCAATACAGTAGATGACGATTGTGAAAACTTACCAATGCTTTACAAGACATGCTGGTTAAACTGTGAAGCAGCTTCGTCTTTGTGGGACTTTTCTTGTGTAGAATAGAATAGAAGTCCTATAGGATTAGATTTCTGTTGTTAATTGGCTTCTTGGCTGCTTAACTTTGATTCTTTCATGTTCACCAGCTGCCCTTTGCTTTATTTGAGCATTCATGACCTGTGGACCAATCAAAATGGCCCAAAATGACTTAGAATATAACGTTCTATGGCAGACGTGTCAAACTCAACCACTGAAAGGGTCATATTAAAAAATCTCAGCAAATTTGTGGGTCAGCTGTGTTTTTATTTCATTTTTATGTAACATTGTGCCAAGACCTGAGCGGCCACCAGGCATTGAATACTTATTCAAAAATAATTCTAAATAAAAATTTATTGTTTTAGGTATTTTTTTTTAAACTGCATATTTGCTTGAACTAGACACCAGGCATCTTTTCTTTTTGTGTAAACACTGGCCGATAGATTGTTGCTGGAGGAAGGGGGTCAGAACACATACTATGTTGCAATGCATGCTGGGGACTGTAGTGCATCTCAGGGTGAAATGAACTTATAAGATCAGAAAATTAAAATCATTTCACAGGCCGAACAGGGACCGTGTCTTGGACCTGACTTGGCCTGCGGGCCTTGTGTTTGACGCATGGGTTCTATGGTATGGCGCTTATATCTTAGGTTACAGTATCTCCAGGTACGTCATATCAGCCTTTTTGTAAGTGGCTCTAGAAAGCTTGTTACTGACTACAGTCTGCCAAATGACCAAAATACTAGTATTTTTTTCCATCTGCTCACATTACCACATTTGATTGGCATATTATTTCATTACTGTCCAAAAAAGCATACATATCGTTCTTAACTTTTAATGCATGTTAATGTAAATAGCTTTTATTCTAAGTCATTTCGGAGCATTTCTTTTGGTGCATTCATTGTGAAATTTTCACACAATTTAAAGAACAGCTGTCAAAATGATGTAGAAAAGAAAAAAGTGGTGGGATGGACAGCAAAATTTGCATAACTTTAAAGGCAAAAAAGGTTTAAAGCTAATTTTAGACCTGTTTTTGGGGAACTTTGCTAAGGAAGGACCCGTGTGTGCTTCAGTTTACCTCATTCATCATCACGAGATGAATCTGCCTTTGAAGGTTTTTCAGTCACTGCAAAAAGCCTAAAGACAAGAAACTAATGACCATCAGGCTTTTCTCAGATGATTGAGTGCATATGACTGCCTGCAATCATGACCATGTTGATGAAAAGCTTATAATATTTTTCAATTATATGTTGTTAATAAGAAACATTTGGAACTTTTGACAAAACCAGATTTGTGTCGGCTCAGATTCCAACATTTCAACAATTTTTAGCTACAAAAATCAAACAAAAATAAAAAAGCCGACATTAATTATGTTGTAATTATTTTTTATGAACGGCCAAGGATCCTGACATATTCATGTACTACCACCCGAGCTCTTCAACAGGAACACAAGATACTGAATTTAGGTCAATAATACTAAAGAAGATATGAATTATATGACCTGAAATATTAATTATATGACCACAAAGATTAAATGTATGACCTAATAGATTAATTATATGACCTGATAGATTATATGACCTCAAATATTAATTAGATGACCTCAAATATGTTGTTTGACTGTAAGTCACTTTGTTGTTTTACCAACATGCTCCCCTGATCAAATAACACGTCTTGTTGATTTTCTAAGTGAAAATGAGTTTCTCATCCTCTACAGAGAGCAGACTGTAAATATGGCATTTTTCTGTAAATGCCGGTGCATCATTTCTGCTTTACTGAGTTTAACACATATTGGAAAAAAAAAAAACATAAATTAGAAAATGTTCCATAGCTTTTTGTATGTATACACATATTCTTCATGTAAAGCTATGCTGTCTTCATTTTAAGAATGTCTTGTAACTAAAAGCCAGTGGCCAGTGTTAAAATTAATGTATGTAACGTTTGAAAATTTCACTGATAAAAGTCCTGTTTTCTGCAGAGCTGTTTCTCAGGATGGGGTATCTGCTTTCCACTGTGCTTGACCGTCCTGCTCAGTATGAGTAAGTCTCTACACTGAACATTACAGCAGAAAGGGAGGTTAAAGGTCATCAGCCTCAGGGGGCAAATCATGGTCTTGCAAGGTTCCTGAGCACAGAAGTCCTCGGAGGCCCCACGAACACTGACAATTACGCATAATAAATAAAAATCATGTGATCATTATAAAGTAAAGGTCTGTAAAGTGAGAGTAAACAAAACTGAAACTTTGTATTCATGTCCACTTTGAGTGACACTGGACATATGTTTATTTTTTGCCTAATAAAAATAAACAAAATTAGCCTTAGTAATGCACAATATCGCTGTTGTAGGGAAAAAACCTTGTATCTCCAAAATGGTAACTTTTCAGGAGAAAGAAAAAACACACTTTAGTTTTAATGTAAGTCAATGGAACCAGACGTTTTTCCAAGTAATTTTGGGTCATTTCTTTTGGTCTATTCTTCATGAGATTTACATACAATATAAAGGACCACAGATATTTTCAAATTATGTCACAAACTGAAAAACATCAAAAACAAAGATTTTCTTCCAATAACAGTGATATTCTGTTGTGTGTTGTAGCAGTTTTGGGGTAAGATTTAAATCAGTTTGAATTCCATTTAAACTGAGATTTCTTCAAGCAAATGGAGTTGTATCGCAAGAGCGGAAAAAAAATCATGCGCTAAACAAAAACATTTCATGCGACAATAAAAAACTGAAAACAGAAATGGACCTGAAAACTGCAACAATTTCGTGTTTATTTCATTTTGTATGCAAGGACTAGTTGAGTATTTAATATTTGTGTCTGGATTACTCCAAGTATCTGAGCGATCTTGAGCTTTTTGGCCTGAGTAATAAATAATCATTAGTGTTTTTCATAATTGAGTTAAATAATTAATTATTTTTTATGGGACACTAAACAAAATTTGAAATATTAAGCATTGTTAGTTACCTATGAATAATCCACAATCATTATGAAAAACATCTTAATAAATATCTACATTTTGTTTTAAATTTCTACTTTTTGATTAATACGATTTTACTTCATGCTAAGTTTATCATTATGAAAGGATTATTTTAAGCTGTTAAAGATGAATAATCATTAATCATTAATTTGGACCCCAATTACAAAGCAGACAGAACTTTCTAATGTACTTATAAATATATTACTTATTACCTGTAAAATCTGGAATGAGTGTTGAAATGTCCACAGATATTTTTATGAAAAAGGTTGATGTCAATTTGTAATTTATGGTTCCTTTTTTTCATTTTCTCTCTTTCTCTCTCTCTCTCTCTCTCTCTCTCTCTCTCTCTCTCTCTCTCTCTCTCTCTCTCTCTCTCTCTCCCCCTCTCTCTCTTTTTTCTCTCTCTTTCTTTCTCCCCTCTCTCTCTCTCTTTCTCTCTCTCCCCCCCTTTCTCTTTCTCTCTCTCTCTCTCTCTCTCTCTCTCTCTCTCTCCCCCTCTCTCCCCCCTTCCCTTTCTCTATAAATATAGGTGGACAAAGCAGTGGTGAGTTAACTGCAAATACATATTATTTGTCATTTAGTCATTTCTTGCCCCCAATTCTTGTATTATTTGAATCTAAACTGTTATGGTTTTCTGCCGAATCATAGTACTGAAATGTCTGTAATTTAATTTGGTACTTAAACATTCGTTTAAGTACAGACTCTGGAAAAACATCTGTTCTGCTACTGCTTAATCTTAGCGCTGCCTTTGATACCATTGACCATAAAATTCTCATAGATATACTTGAGAACTGGGTTGGGGTTTTAGGAACTGTCTAAAATAGTTCACTTCATACCTGGAAGGAAGGAAAGAATTACTTTGTGGAAATAGAAAATAATGTTTCTGAGAGAGTGCCAGTGACCTGTGGTGTCCCCCAGGGTTCAATTCTGGGGCTGCTCTTATTTAATTTATACATGCTGCCTCTTGGCCAAATACTGCAAGACTATGGGATATCTTACCACAGCTATGCAGATGATACTCAGATCTCTCAGTGAACACAGTGGACACATGAACCCATCCTTAAATCCTTACACTGGCTACCAGAATAGTAATTGCAGAATAGTCTTTAAGATACTACTTCTGGTCTACAAACTGTTTAATGGTGCAGGGACAGCATGTTTTTTCTGATCTGCTGCAGCGATATGAGCCGAGTAGTACTCCCAGATTATTAGAAACTAGTCAGTTAGTCCTGCCGAAGGTAAAGACTAAACATGGAGAAGCAGCGTGTAGCTACTATGCTGGTCTTAAATGAAACCAGTTGACAGAGGGCATTAGAAGAGCCCTGACACTGGACACTTAAATCCAGGCTCAAAATGGTCCTGTTTGAGCAGCTTTCAGCTCATTTTAAACACTGTTAGCTGTTCTAGCCCCTCTCACCTGTAACAGCACTTTATTATCCTAATTTAATTTCTGATCTATTGTTTTAATCATGTTTTTTTATAATGTTTTTTAGTTCTATTCTTCTGTTTTTATATTCCTTTATGTTATGTTCTTCTATTCTCATTTACTTTTAAATGACTTGAAATAACAGCAGTGTATGGAAGGTGCTATATAAATAAGCTTGCCTTGCCTTGACTGGGCACAAATTCCCACAGACAAATTCCAAAATCTTGGAGCATTCCCAGAAGAGCGGAGGCTGTTGTAGCCGCAAAGATAGGCAGCTCCATTTTTAATGCCTAAGGATTTGGAATGAAATGTCCAACAAGCTCACATCTGTATGATAGCCAGGTGTCCACATACTTTTGGCTATATAGTGTAGTTCTGCTGTTGAAGTGTTTTCTGAATAGTAGGTTGCCTACTAAGTTTTTTCTCCACATATCTGGTTATAATAAATATTGCTGTGTATATTAACCATTTACACACAAACCTCAGTTTCCAAAAAAGTATGTGAAATGCTAAAAAAGAAAACAAAAAAAGTAATTAGTAAATTCACATGGTGTTTGATGTTTTATCTTATGAACTTTGTTGTGTTGGTTGGTTTTTTGTTTTGTAAACATACTCTCAATGCAGATTTTAGGCCAAAATGTTTACAATCACCTTTCCATTTAACAACACTTAAATGGGGACTGAAGACAGAAACTCATCCAGTTTTGATATTTTTTTTTGCTGTTTTTCAGTTCTAAAGGTCTTCAACTGCATAATTTCATTTGCCTCATTCGTCTCTACACGTTTAATCCAATGAGCTTTACTACACAGTAGGAATTTTGACATCACTGTCCTAATATTTATGAAAGAGACACTAAACAGAGAATTTTACTGTTACTAATGAAAAGAATAAATAAAACTGACATAATGTTAACAAACTCCTTCCAGGCAATTTTGAGATGTTCTTTCCCATTTCACCTGAAGCTGTTGAACTTACCGTGAACAATGGGGACTCTGTAGAGGTCCAGCTTGACCGGCCATTCCTCTACTTTGGAAAACATAACTCTAAGTTATACGTAAGTAGAAGAACTGAATGGAATATAAAAATATGCATGTATGTGTTATGATACCCCCATTTTTCCTCAGGTGTGAGCTGTTTTTACACACTTACAGATTTCGAAAGGTTGACCAGGATGACTAAAGCTGTGTTCGTATTACAAGCCTCACTGCTGCCCTCTACTTTTACCATTCACATTCACGCAACATCAGAATGAGCTGTGAGAACTGTTACTTTGAACTGTAGAGAAGCAGCAGAGACTGAAATGACCACATTGAACAGCGTTTACAGAAAAGAATGAAAATTAGTGCATTTCTGTGAAAGCTGATTAAGCAGAGAAAGGAAGCTCCGTTTTGATGATGCAGGACGTCTGACTTTTGATCTGGCTGTTTAGACAGAGGTCACACTTCTGCGTATTGGATATATGCCACAAAGGGAAAAGGCCCAAATTGGAATTGAAGCTATAAGATTCACAAAAAGCCAATCTGTGTCCCATTTCAAGAACAAGATGCACCAGTTTTGCATAAGTTGGACCAATTTTGTGTGTAAAGTCTTTACTAAGTCCTCAGTAAACACTAGTTAGTTTCAAATGATCCTTTTACTTAATTTTGTTGCACCACCGGCGCATAAGTCAAGCTTCAGATTTGCGCAGGACTGTTTTCAGTCCCGCTCCTGGAACATTTCATCCTGTTCCACCTCGAGTCATTTGTCCCGCTCCGCCCGCAACCGAAACATTTTGTCCTGCCCCCACCCGCAATTCTGTCAAGGTGAACTAAGATCCAATGTCTGACACAGTCTATTCACAAATACATTATCCTCTGCTGAAATAACACGTCAGTCATGCTCATCAGGCTCACTGTGAGTAACTTCACCAAACGCCATTTATTCCCAGTGAACACAAAGCAGGAAATTAAACCACAGAGCGGTTATTTTTGGTGTTTTGCTGGGCAGCTGTGTCCGTTGAACTGAAGGCCCTGCCATCTCTGAAAGCTACAAGAATATGTGTTGTTCACATGATCAGCTGCTTCACAACTCTTTAGAATGACTTAATTCATTTTAATAATTTTACTGTTGTCATTTTATATTGTTCATATATATATGATTCAGTGATCGTTCTACTTTATTTAGGCTATTCATCAATTTGTGGGACTTCTCTATATGTGTGCTTGTCCCGCTCCCACCTGCAATGGGCTGATTCCCTGCCCGCTCCTGTGCGCAGCACTGAAAGTTAGACCATTGCTGCCATAAAGTTCTAAATGAGTTCATATTTTTCATGAAATGGTAAAATGTCTCACTTTCAACATCTGATATGTTCCATGTTCTATTGTGAATAAATAATGGGTCTTTGAGATTTGCAAATCATTGCATTCTGTTTTTATTTACATCAGCATCCCAACTTAAGTCAATAAGAGCATGATTATACATTTGTTTCATGCTGTTTTAAGTATCACTGAATTGGTGGTAAAGAATTCAGTCAAAGAAAAAGACTCACTCATAAAGATTCACTGCAGCAATTTCTGAACTATTAAATAAAATTTTGCCAACCTTTAGGAAAACTTCTTCTTCAGACCCACTTAAATACAATGAAATTATTTCTCTTTCAGCTTGCCAGGGATGGCTTCCTGGCCTTCTTTCAGCCACTTCTTAAGGATGCTAACCCTAATCCACATATTGCCAAAGACATCATCACTCCACTGTGGACCAACATTGAGGCTAATAATGGAGGAAATATCTCCTACAGTCAAGCCACAAGCGGTCTTCTTCTCCAACTAGCTACAGTTGAAATCAACAACATGTTCCCTGGGGTGAACTCCTCTGCTTCCTGGGTCTTTGTGGGCACCTGGGAACAGTGTGCATTTTGGACATGATGCAGGGGTAAGTGCCTCTCCTAAGAATTTGATCTCTGCCTGTATGCGGACAAATTTTAACATCTTTCTTCTCTCAAAGGAGGCAAGTTTTCAAGTAGTCTTGATCTCTGATGATAATGACAAGTCTTATATCTTGATGAACTATGGAGAGATTCCACCTACTGATCAAGTCTGGCTGGTGAGATGAGCATGTTCATATACATGATAGATCATATAGATGATTTAGTGATCGTTCTACTTTATTTAAGCTATTCATTAATTTGCGGGACTGCTCTATATGTGTGCTTGTTCATATACGTTTATTGTAATATGTCAAGATTATATATATAATCTTATATTATAGTCAAATAATAGTGCTAAAAATGGAACGTCTTTTAAAAGGACCAAATGTCTGTGTTTAATCTAGAATGGCCAAAAAATGCTTATGTGAATCGCCAATAGCTGAGCGCTAACATACTACCAGAATCCCATAAAGGTGCTATCAGAAATTAGCATTATTATAGAGATGTTTTTTTCCTCGTTTTTGACCAGGTTTTGACACTTATGTTCTGAACTGAGGGCTCTTACAGTCAGAAATTATTCAATAAATTCTTCCAACCGCAATTTTTTTAGCACTGTTAATGCACTTTCCTGGTGCGTTTGACCATTCAAACCATTAAGGCAGACTGCATTAGCATTAGCGCTCTGCAGCTGGGCTTCAGCCTGTACTTCTATGAATGCACTACTTCAGCCTGCACTACTAACAGATTCAACTTTCAGATTCAGATAACACTTTACAGTAGGCCATTGTTCATAAGGCTACATGACAACTGACCTACACCTCCATAAACAATTATAAAAGCTCAATTAGGCATCATTTGTCATAAAAGGTAGCATTTGCAATGTGTCACCTGACAAACCTTGACAAAAGCAACCTTTTATGACACACAACACCTATTGGAATAAGCCCTGACACATGATTATATGTGTTTATGTCATGTGCTACGACATGCGTATATGGTATCATGTAGCCTTATGAACACTGGCCTACAGATATAGCCATATCGAAATGTAATGCGCTGGAAAAAAAATCTTACTTTAGGGTCAAATTACAAAAATGTATGATTACTTACAATTAATTATTGTTACTTGTTTGACAGCCCTAATATATACATCAATTTACATATCTATTTATTTTTTCTTGAATTTTTAGGCTGGCTATAGCGCCAAGAACAACAACGATTTTGTGGCCGTCCCAGTACAAAATATCACTGAGCTGTCTTCAGGAAGTAATGTCGAAATCACAGGGCGCTGGGCTTTCAAAGTTCAGAGTGGAGCTTATGGTGAATTATTTTTGTTGTTTTGTGATGCATTCAGTAATTCAATCACTTCTGGATTATAACAGTCAGATCTATTTATGCTTCATCCAAGTTCCACATTCCAAGTTTGGGATGTGGATCCTCATGATTTGAGGTTGCTACTTACTTAATTTCATGTATTGTTGATTTTCTCAGTAAAAATACTCAACAAAGGACATACTTGGCATATTTTAGCGCACACTGTCTATTTAGTTTAACATGTTGGAAAAAAAAAACATAGAAAATACAGAATGTACTGTAACTTTTGCATAGAAAACATTGTTTTCTTTTTCCCTAAATATGTTCAAAAATTCAAATTCCTGAAGTGAATTTTATGTCAGCCAGCAGTGATATAAGCCGTATTTGAGCTGGAGTAATTTGGGTGATTATTGACCAGATCAGTGATTTTAATCCAGGATCTTTATCCAAAGTACTGGACATGTCTACTACTTGAAATGTACCTGACAGGCTGTCATAATATAACGGCTCTGTTCTGGGTTGGTATAGTGTAGTGGGTAACACCTCTGCCTTCTACATTGTAGACTGGGGTTCAATTCCCTACCTGGGTAAACACCCTACACTATACCAATAAGAGTCCTTGGGCAAGACTCCTAACACTACCTTGCCTACCTGTGTAAAATGATCAACTTGTAAGTCACTCTGGATAAGAATCTGCCAAATACTGTGAATGTAAATATAAATCCAGGCTGAATCTCAAATGGCTTCTTATATAGTGCTAGGTAAGTTTTAAAATTCTGGCTTCTACCCAAATAGTTTGTTGTTTGTCTAGTGTGGAATTGTGCCCATATGGCTGTATATCAAATTTGAGATATTATGCACTGGAAGTAGGGAGCCATTTGGGAATCAACCCCAGTGTGGGAAAAGTGGTGATAGAAGACTGGAAATTATATAGAAATGAGCACTGTCATTGTGCCAGTAATTTGGGATCAAAAACTACTTATAAAGCAAAGGTTTTTGCTTTAAATGGAGCAACATGATATGTTTATTATATGGCAAAAAGTTAACAAGTTCATGCAATGAATGCAATATATGATGACAGGCTTTCAGCAGTCCATGGGTGCTTGACAACAACATGCTCTAAAGAAACTACATTTCAGTCAGGACCATTTTTTCAAAGAAAGTATTTGTTTTCATTCGCAGTTAGTCATATCTGGTGACATGGCTCTGTCCTGGGACCTCCCTGCCTTTCCATGTGCAGGGAGAGCAGCAGAAAGAGGGTACAGAACAAGACATTGAGTAAGCCAGACACAGCATAAAGGAGGAGTAGGGATGGGGGCAAGTTGCAAAGTGGTGTGCAGAGGAAGTGCGAGAATGGAATGGTTAAAGCTTAAATAAGTGCCTTGACAAATTCAGCCAATTGTATGCGTAGGTGATCAGCTGAGCTATCATGATTTGAGATTGGCCTGAGTTTGACTTTGAACTAATGCTATGCTCAATTTCTCAGTAGAATAATTATTTGGCTTGATTATTATTATTAATAATAAACCATTTTTTTTAAATGGGTGTATTTTGTCATATTTTATGCTGTCCAACGTTTTATAAAAGCAATTTTATTGTGGGTATTGGGGATTTTACACTGCTTGACATTGCGTCTAATAACACACTCATGATAAAATCACTGTAACACACGACCTCTTGTCTCTTTTGCTTTATTTTACGGCATCAAGAGTTTTTCCTACATTGCTTTTGACTAATTATGAGGGAGAAAGGTCTTATTTTATTAACTGGCAAGATCCACGTGCCAGAAAAGAAATCACCACAGGTGTAACCACTGAATGGTGTAATTCTTGTACACTTTGGCCTCATACTGCTTTGGTAGGTCAGTGAAAATGTAGTGGAAATAGGTGACCTCTGTATAAAACACTCACCTTTCCTCAGAGTGAGTTTGAGTCAGAGGGCACCTATTGTTGGTGCACCTATTGCTGTCTTACTGTGTCATTGTCTTGTTTGTGTATCTCTCTTTCTCTCTTACTAGACAACTGTGAGAAACTGCACTGCACTAAGAAAGAGGTGTGTGTGGAGAGATCTGGATTTTACGGCTGCGCCTGTTCAAGAAACCATACAAGGCCCCGCGCTGAGACTTTCGGTACATTTCTTTCTTTCTTTCTTTCTTTCTTTCTTTCTTTCTGTATTTATTTGTACTAGTTTAGTCATAAGCATTTTCTAAAAGGGGGGAAAAGTATTAAGACATTTATTATTATTATTATTATTATTCATTTATTTCAATATGCTTCCAGGTCATATATCCACATTTTCATACATCATAGCTCTTATCCTTGAGGTGCGTACAGTAAAATCTGATTGTAAAATGAGCGTATGTACACCTTAAATCAGTGTTAAATCAACGTTCTAATCTAATGTTGATTAATCACTAATATATATTTTTTTCTCTCCAAAATCAGACATATTCATATTCAGTCATATTTCCTAGCTCAATAAATTATCATTAAATAGTTCATTTTGACAGGTCTTTCAGTTTTAATACATTTTGGAATTAAACAATGTATTTTAACTGTATCTGGCATATAAAAAAATACATGCATATTTATTTTCTTTATTGTGATCTCCATTGTGCACTTCCGTCTGCGGTTACATTATATGAACTTATTTTAGGTTTTTAGATGCAAAGTAGTAAAGTAGTGTTAACTATCAAAGATTAGGCAGCTTTGTCATTATTGTCTAATTGTTTTTTTTTTACAGCTGAGAACATGGATGTGTTTAATGATATTGGAATGTAGTCCTGTACTGATTTATTATTTTTAATATTGTGAACGTATCCTGTTATATAGGTAGGTGCTGGCTAATGCTCTTTAACTGATAAAGACTACCTGCCTAGAATGTTAATTCGTTATGTCGAGATACTAATGAAAAGCAAATTAAAAAAATATGAAAAAGTCATAATTGTGAGGTTCTAAGTCTTTATTTTGACATAAGAAGTTATTAAGAGAAACTATATGATAAGTAATTTTTGGCATATCATGATGCTCTTAACTTAAAATCTGAAGATAATAAGTCATGTTTTGGGAAATAAGTCGTTATTTTGACATAAAAATCCAAAATTCGACATACTTCTGCCAGAAACAGTATCTCCCCCTACCTGGAGTTGTTTTAACAGAAAAGTTTGACTGAGTTTGTTTGATTTTTCTCAGATGCCACTGAGATCTGTGAAAGCAGCTCTGGTTCGCTGTCTCTGTCGCGCTGTCAGCTCTTTGAAGCCGGATATCCTGCAGAGCTCCTCCACCTGAACAATCACACATGCAAAGGGAAGATCCAAGGTGACCAAGTGGTGTTCGGGTTTGACAACGATGACAACATCTGTGGCACAATTCTGAAGGTACAAAGACTCAAAATGTTCACATATATTCATACTCTCATTGTTCATTGTTGTTTTTGTCAATCGTTGTATTTGGATGTATCCCAAGGGTCATATTCTGGATGCTATATTTGAGGCCCCTCACTATTAATTCCATCCGTCATATTTTAATTATTCTGAGGATTTTTAGCTTCAGTAATGTTTTCCCTCACTCTAAACACCAGGCATATCTAAGGTGATGTTTGAAATTCAGACCAGGAGTGGCCGATACAGAGACTGATTTTTTTATAATTATATTTAGTAAAATATAACGTTAAATTGTGTATTTCCTAAAACATTATTAATGATTATTATGTTATAGTCTTAGACAAACTTTTTATTGGAACTGGAAGCACTGATGAGGTTGCTCTCTGTTACTTTCTTTTTCAAAAGCTTATTCCGAATCACTACCGAAAGTCATCTGAATATAAATTACATCTATTTTTGTTATGAAATGAAAACACAGTAATAATAACATTCCAATCTGCTCTCAGGGGATGTCTCAATTTTTGAACTGATAAACATCAACAAACAAGTAATACTAAGTTAAGTCATCATGAAAAGGATCAATTAGATCAACCAACACATTTTATTTTAACCTATACAACAGTGGTTTTCGACCTGTCAGCCACAGCGCCCCCGTGGGCCATGGTGGTACTGCAGCCTTTTAAATGCAAAAATGTGAAAATTTAAAAAATGACAGATATTGTTTATAATTTGCAAAAAATATAAAATTATATTTACATTGAGCTCATTGGCTGCTCTGACAAACTGTGAGCTAGTGCACCACCTTGAGCAGCAATGACATCCAGTCAAACAAACAGTTCCTGTGAGTGTTGATCAGCCCTGTCCATGCACTTGGAGGAATCATGGCCCATTCCTCCTTAGAGAAATACTTCAGGTCTGTTATTATGGTAAGATTTCTCCAAAATTTCTATTGGATTTGGCCTGGACTTGATACAATCCAGAATTCATAGCTCCATCAAATGGTGGCAAGCTGTTCTGGTCCAATAGCGGCAAAACAGCCCCAACCGTGACTCTGCCGCCACCATGTTTCACAGTTGGAATGAGGTTGGTGGAATGATGACTTAAGCCATACAGGTCTTTTTAGCCTTATCCATTTTATGGCTCATCCAGGTGGTCTATAGGAAACTTTACACTTGCAGCAATGTTCTTTCTGGAGAGTAGTGGCTTTCTCCATGCTATCATTACATATGTTCATGCTATTCTTATTCAGTGTTTGCCTGATGGTGGACTCATGAGCACTGACATTAGCCAGTGTAAAAGAGGTCTGCAGATCCTTATATGTACACTATTATTATGACTTAAATGAAGATTTGAACTCATGGTAGGTCAAACGTGTGCAGAAAATTCACATGCTAAAGGATTCGCAAACCTTCCAACAGCACTGTGTATGAGGGCAAGTTGGGGTCATTTGCAAATTGATATGCAAATAAGACAACAGAAACAAACTCATTTCACAGAATAATAATAATACTCTCTCTGTTTCTAGCATAATGAGACACACATCATCTACGAGAACGCTGTTCAGTTTTTTGGTAAAGCAGATACGGGTCTGATTAGTCGTCAAAAATGGCTGAACATGACCTTCTCCTGTGTGTATCCACTCATCCAGAGCATCTCCATGCCCATGGCCATCGAAGCCAAAAAAGGGTAGCGATATTTCTAGCGGCAATGCGCCAATTTCTATACATTCAAAGATATCTTCATTCTTTTGAATATCTTTTTATCTTCATATCTTGATTCTTTTTTGTTTTTGCATGCTCTCTAAACGTTCTCTAATGGGTTGGTGAATGTTTTTGTCCACAGTGTGGTCAGCAAGGAGCTGTCTACAGAGGGGTCATATGAAATATATATGCTCCCCTTTCCCCAATGCTTCATTCATCGAACCTTTTTCTGGAAATGTCACACTTGACGTGAACCAGCAGATCTTCGTGGCTGTGGCGGTGGATGGAGTCGACGAACGTCAGATCGCTATAGTTCTGGACAGCTGCTGGGCCACTCCGGTCAATGACATGAACAACAGCCATCGCTGGCCTCTTATCGTTCAGGAGTGAGGAATCTGAAGTTCTTTGAATTAAATAACATTTTGAATGGAGAAGTTCTGTTTAATTTGATTCATTATTACGATTATTATTATTATTTTAACCCAGTTTTCTTCCCCATCACACTACTACCAAGCTAGGAAGGTAAATGCTTTCACATGCTTTTGCAGTTCCACCTCCTTTAGATACTGTTGCTATGTCGATGAAACTTTCAGCTTATGGTACCTGGTAGCATCTGAAACCCAAGAAACTGGCTTTATAAGATGTTCGGTGCAAACATACATGTCTGAGAATAGAGAAAATATGAATGTAGGCCAGTTTAAATTGGATTAGAGTCTGCATGTTAACAGGGAAATGGATGTGAAAGCAGTAAGTTTCCTTGTCTAGGAGGTTTAAGCAACAAAACCTGCCCTTTCAGATGAGATAATGCCAATAACACTATACTGTAAAAAAATGAGAGGTCAGCTTAACTTAAAATGATATAGTAACTGATTACATGGCTTTTCTTGAGTTTACTCAACTTGAGTCAAAAATTCTCCCAGCTACTGTTTCTAGGTCCTCATCTGAGTTAGATAAACAAAACTGAATTTGCATTTTTTTACTCATTTTCTCCACTAGCTGGCGCTCCTTCTATCACACAGTCCCATCTGGCACACTTTCCTCTTGGGCTTCCGGATGTGGACGGCTATGGCATTGCTGGGATTCAAACTCAGAATCTCCTGATGTTGGGATGATTTATTAGACAGTTGCACCACATGAGACGATGCCACGCTCTAAAGTTAAAACAATAAATATTTTCTCCAGTGTATTAAACATTTGTAGACACAAAATCTGAGCTGCTTCATGTATTCCTGAGTGGGGCAGTGGACTAAGCCGTCACCCCAACAGGAGGTTGTGAGTTTGAGCCCCAGCGATGCCATAGCCATCCGTAAGTGTGTACTCAAGAGGGAAAATGTCCAGCAGGATTGTTTGATGGAAAGAGTCCTGGCTAATTGGGAAGTTGAGTATAAAACACAAGTTTTTTATTTACACAACCGAGATGCAGAACTAAAAAATTCAGAGAACTACTGATTCAACTAAGAAGTTTGAGTTGTGTGAACTCTTGTGTCCTCAAGTTGAGTCAACTCATGAAAAGCCATGTAATCAGTTACCGTATCATTCTGAGTTGAGCTGACCTCTCATTTTTAACAGTGTAGAGCTAGTCATTGCAACGAATCATCTATTATTTATCTTTACACACGCTGTTTGCTAACACTTTATTTGAAGGCGACCTACATGGAGACTTCATAACACATGCATAAGCATGTATTTATAAAGCAATGCTTGAGTATTTCTGATCAGCTTATGCCAGCAATCGCAAGACATTTTATGAAGTAAATGACTTTTTATTGACATATGGGGCTTTAAATTAAAGTAAGGGACATTTGTTCCATTTATGACACTATTATGAATCATCATTTTCAAATAACTAAACTGAAAAAGAAGAAGCCTACTTTAAAAACACCATATCAGCTTGTGGCACGCGCCCTTTCCCTTGAACCTGATGATGGCCGCGAGCCCGGAGGCGGTGCCCAGGAGGTGGGGCTTGGGACTTGCAAGCCCTCTCCACTCCCTTATGGATTTTATCCTCACCCCGCTATCTTTGTGGGGTTTTGTCTGGCCTCAGAGTTTGAAAAAGTAAAAAAAAAAGTTTAAAAACAGCTCCACTCTCCAGATGATCCGGACATCATGTGTCAGGCATTATATGTTCCTCAGTAACACCTTCCCACCATTTCTTAGTTACATATTTCTGCTGCCGCTGTTCTCACTGCAGGTTTTTTAAGGATTTTTTTTTGAGTTTTCTTCACACCTGACAGAGAAAGGCTGAGAAATGTGTCTATCATTATTTTACAATTGGCCAGTGATGCCTACTTAGATAGTCCTGATATTTTTCTACACACCATAGTGCTTAATTTACATGTATTAAAATGCATGAAATGTTAAATCTTGAATTCTCCTTTGACTCTTCAGGTGTCCCAGCGCTAATGACAGCACAGTGGAGGTGCTGCAGAATGGGATTTCGACAGTCAGCTCCTTCTCCTTCAGGATGTTCACGTTCACTGGCCAGTCTGAAAGTATCTACCTGCACTGCAAGGTTCACCTGTGCTTGCTGGTGGGAGGTGACTGCGCACAGGTGAGTTCAGGTCACCCACTTATCCAGTCACTGGCCATCTCTGCAAAAGAATGAGCTTCAAGAAGACCAAGTAAAAAAATTTTTTTGCACTTTAGCAGAGCTACAGTTGTATGTGTGTGTGTGTATATGTGTATATATATATATATATATATATATATATATGTATATATACACACACACACACACACACACAGACAAGCACATGCATGCAGACACACACATATTTTGTGTATATTTATATTGTATAGAAATGTATATAAGCTCCCTGGACAAAAAAATTGGTCATCTTGTCTGTTTAAAGTGGTAGTAACTTCAGGCTCCTGCAGATGCCGTAAATACCTGCAGGGTGTGAGAGGGAATTCATAGATTGAGAAGAGGTGGTACAGTGCAGTGAATGTCTTGTTTGATGTGTGGAATATGGGTCACAAAGCAGATGTTAATGATTGGCAAAAAGGAGTGATTGCATTTGGCCACAGTGTGAAGGAAGTAACTTAATCTGTAGGTGTATTGAAACGTACGGTCCTACAGGTCGACCAGCAGTTACAAAAATCCCAGTGTACAGGAAATTCTCATCAGAACTCTGGCCAAAAGATGAAACTGACGGACAGGGATCGACGACGTGTTTCACAGCTTGTCAATAAAAATTGCTTCGCTTCCAGGTGAGAATTGCTTCTAGCAGGTTCTTCACACCCATTTTTGAAAGAACTCTCCACAGGGATCTGCATGCCATTAACATCTGGAGCAGAGTGGCACGCAAGAGACCATTGCTTACAAAGTTGCCTGGTTACAGTGGCCAAAGACACACAAAACCTGGACTGTTCATGACTGGAAACGTGTTATCTAGTCAGATGTTTCTGCCTGTATGTGAATGATGCTCGGCATCGTGTTCATTATAGACCTCAGGAAGCCTTCAATGAGGACTGTAAACAAGATGTGGTTCAAGCTGAACCACAGTGTCGACATTGAGCTGCTGGACAACCAGGTTTTGCCTTTTGCTCATCATCTTACCGAAGAACATAGCATTCCTATCCCTGAATTCCAAGATGACGGTTCTCACGTTCACAAGGCTGCAAAATTGACCGATTGGCAACATTCAGGAGCATTCACGAATCTGGACTGGCCCACAAAATCCCCAAATTTCGACGCCAGGGAAGCATCCACAAAATCTGACCACACTGCGCAATTCTTTGATGCAAGAGTGGCTGAACATTGATGTCACCTACATTTAGAAACTTGTCCAGTTCAGGCCAAATCAAATCGATGACACCAATAACGAAGGTTGAGAACTGTGTAAAAAAAGTCAGGGTGCCAAATGGTCGTGGCTTAGGTGAGACACATTTTGCGAAACAAAAGGAATTCACAAAGGAATACCTGATGTAACATCGCTAAAGCTGACATATTGCTCACATATCCAGAACTAATTCTTTGTTTGCTTGCCTTTTTTAGAGCTGTGACGATGAAGGTGAAAGAAGAACAACAAAGAGACCTTTGGACTTCCATGACACAACTGCCATTACAATGGCCTTATAATGTGCTTACCCTAAGCTCACAACTGTTATGCAGGGCTCTTCTACGATCTGTATGTTTATTCCTTCTGTAATCACAGTTTTGCAATTACTTCAAAATCAATAATCCATCAATGATCCTTCTGAAGAGGTTGAGGATGTTTTGTTAGCGTTGGAACTCTACATGATTGGATTCTTTTTTCCTGCCTTAATTTTGTTAATAAATCTATATTCAGCATTGTATATTCTGCAAGTGTCAAAAATCTTTTAACATTCACCATTAAATGACTTTATTACCTCTCAAATGACTCCACTTCGCATCATTACTGTGGAGGAAACCTTGAAAAAAGACTCAATAGGGGGAAGTTATCCTCTAGTGGAGAGGGATGGACCAAATAGTAAAGGATTAAAAGAATTTAAATCCTTTTATATAACAGTCCCGGCCACGCAAGCTGATTGGTTGAGAAGCATTCTAACCGTGTTGTTATTTCGCCATAACAGCACGTTTGTTTCATAAACACTGTATCACTCCGCTGAGACGCCATTGCTAAGCAACGACTTTGACAGCTGTAGGAAACGCTCAAGCCATTTGAACGTTTTTACTTCTTACTTTGCGCAAAAACAGAAAATGGATACTTTTTAAATCACATTTGACCGACAGCCGATTTGGTCAGACTCTGAAGATGAGACGACACTAAATTCCCAAACTGTCATCACCACTGAGCAGCTTTTCAGTCGGCAGCTGTGACAGAAGAACAGCTAAACAACCTGGAATCAGCCAGAAATGAACCCAGTACCATTCGCCAAACTAAATGGGCTGTAAGATGCTTTACAGACTAGCTAGAACAAAACAACATTAATACTGATCTGGCAAAAATTGACAAAACTGAGCTAAACTTGATATTGTGGCAGTTTTATGGCTCAGTCGGTACTTCAAAAGGCGAGGCTTACAGCAGACAACAAGCTGCTTGTTAAGGAACTATAATTTGGCGGAAGGAACTGCTAACATTAAAAGATATTAAATGCTGCATTCACGACCCAATTCATTTATTTCTTACTTTATTTATTTAACTGTTGTATAAAAGCAATCGAACACTCGAGGTCGTGTGTTATTGCGAATAACATCACGGCTGTGATCTATGGCATGAGCCACAGCCGTGATGTTATTTCGCAATAACACACTCCCTCTCGTGTTCTATTGCTTAAACGTCTGTTAACTTAGAGTAACAGATCTTTTAATTATAATAACTAACTTTATGAAGATAAACTTACAGATGAATGACTGGATTTTCTTCTTGCATATGCTTGTGTGTGTGAGTGGTTCTGAATGTGTAAGTTATTTTGTATAATATCATTACATTCTATCTTCCTTATTTTACTTTGTTAGCTCAACTTGTTGAGATTATGTGAATATTTTGCATGTATGTTTTGTTTAAGTGCCATCTGATGATGTATTGTTCTGACTTTGGCCCATATTCACTAAACTTCTCAGAGTAGAAGTGCTGATCTCGGATCTGTTCCTATCAGTAAAGTCATAGTAAATAATAGAGAAATGAGACGAATTGAGAAAATGAGACGCTTCATGAATTTGGGCTACTGATTGTAAAGATCCTATTTGTGTTATGTAAAAAAGAAGAGATAGATAATTACCATTTGCCCAAAAACAGTAAAGAAAGTCAAGGGTTGGATGAAGGAGAATAGCTTCCCCTTTGCTCCTCTCAAGGTTCTCAATCTTAAGCATGTATAGGATACTTACTAAAAAGGTCCACATCAACACTTTGGGGTCTAATAGTGAGGTCACTAAGCTCATTTAGGTCACATTTACATTGCAAAACTGTATGTGTGTTTCTGACAGTGTCGAAGGTGTGGTCTGAACACTTTTCACTGTAGTGAGCAAACAGGCCTTGCATATTACTATAAATATGACTGACTGCATTTTCTCACACCTTTCAGATTGTCAGCCTGTGCCAACACTGTCATTTTAATGCCCTTAGAACATTGCCCAACCGTGTTACTGTAAAAAGATGAACATAGAACATTGGGCCTCAATCACCAGCCATTCTTAAGAACAAGTTTTCATGAAGATTTTTTTACATTTTCAATGTTTTCTTAATTGGGGTTTGTTCTTAGGTAAGAACAGAGTCTACACACACTCAAGAGCACAAAGGTGAGAACAGTTCTGTGGTTTAAGAACACATCATGAAACTGACGTAGACTTTTTCTTAGGACCTTTCATCAAGGACAGATTGAAGAAAAAAGCTTGAGAAGATACTGGTGAATGAGGCCTAGTGTACTTATGATAAAGGGTAATGTACACTTCTAAGAGGGAGGAAACTACCAGTACTACTATTTTCTTCCATTTTAATCCAAAAAACTTCTTTTTCCACAGAAGCAGACTTTGGACGGAGGAACCGGTTGCATATTATAGCCATTAAAGCACAGTAACACACAGTATAGCATCTAAAATGATTCATAGTTGAAGTAAAAGGGTCTCCTTTAAGAGTCACAATGATCAAAATGTAGAGGTATTGTTTGTTATCAATAGGTTTAACACCTTAAAATCTCAGGTTTATTACAAACTAAGGCTTATAATTCAGTATGTGGACCACAATGCAAACTGGCTGACCTATTCTTAGGTTATAGTAGTGTGTAATAAAACTTGGTCCTGGCCATTCAAGGGGTTGAGAAACTACACAATGTTGAATCTGTTTGATGGCTGGGCTTTCTTGGCTCCACATAGGACCAATCTAGGCTTTCAGGCAACAACGAATTACTGAATATGTATCAAACCCTAAAGGTATTGGGATTTTTCACAGCTAATGAGAGTTGTTGCAAACACTATGACTACATGTAATCGTTCAATAATGATAACCAGGGATGGAAATGGCCAGGTATTACTGAGGAACCCTACTTTTTTGGCGTCACTGAAATATACTGTGGTGTCCTGGCACTGGCCACACTGCTTTAGGAGCGTGAGAGGCCTGGCCATTCAAAGTGGCCATGTGAATAGGCTCTTGGGAGGCGCCACACTCCTGGTAAGAGCGTTCTCCATCAATCTCAAGAATGCTTTCACAATGCAAAGAACATTAATCATCCAAAGGATTCTTTGAGTGTTCATGGTCCTATATAGAACCATTTGTTTTACTAAAGAAGCCTTTAAGAACAATATTTTTAAGTGTGTACAGTAAAAACACTTAATGTAACATACCTGACTGACGTTTTTTTTTTTTTTGGTGTCATACCATGTCTTTGACTTTCTGACCATTTTATTGTGTGTTTGATATTAGTTTGTAATCAAATCGGATTGACTGACTTGAAGATTTGACTACCAGCAAATTTGACATCTGTTTTGTGGTATTCACTTTGAACTATGAATGCTTAAGATGCTCACATTGCTCTAATATTTGAGCAGCAGCCTACTTGCTTCTCTCTTTTCTAGGAATTGTTCTGAGATTAAAACCTCATGAAAATATGTTGCTTTACCAGTCGTGCCACTGTTGGCAGAAATGGTGCGGAAGGTAAGCAAAATGTTCTTGTGACAGTTTCATTTTTAACCACTCGCAAGTGATTTGTATGTGTTTCTGGTGGTATGCCAATCACAGTAAGTGGCAGACTCGAAAAAAAAACTGCTGCAGGTTGCAGGTGGTGCGAGCGAAACAACAAAAAAATACAAGAAACGAAGTATTGGAACCTAACTAAATTTGGTATAACTAATACTTGATCCAATAAAACATGCCTGGACACGAGTCAGGCTTCAAGGATTGTCTGGGGTTTGTTTTCACAAGTATTTTCTCCGGGCCATGGATCTATTGCTCAATTCCATATGTTACCTCTGCGTAGACTGTTTTTACAACCTGCTAGACAAAAGGTTCATTCCTTTGCTGTTTTTAAGAATTAAGGGGTTGCAATTAACAACAGGCTAATACCTTTATTAGTATCATGCTCGCTTCATAGGCTGTGACACTCAAACAGGTGATTGGCATGTTCTCATTCAGGAATGTGCAAATGAGGAGCGAGTATGCTCAAGTATTCAGGACAACAGTGAAAACGCTTTTAGAGAGCATGAAATCACAAAGCAGTTTTTTGAATGCTCACATTTGGCTTATTGCAGGAGGAAGCAGACATCGGACATCAGACAACCAATCAGGGGCCAAGATTACTACACTGCAACTTAATGCCCCAAGTATTTCATGTGATGGTGAAGGACTTTGTACAACACAGAAAACTGAAGATGCTGCCACGGTGCTGTCTATTATGCCAGTGTGCTGAATTAAAACAGACTGTTATATCTGGCTGCTCACATAACAGCACAGTAATCGCTGGAATGTTGCAGGGCTGCTTTTTTGCTCCAAGATGTATGCATTATGTTCTTTTTATTAGATGAACTGACTTCTTTCGGATGCACATAGCACTTGGATCACAGTACTTGGCTCGACATGCAAACCGGCTCTTCTCAATTCCACAGCAAGACCCATAGTTTCCACACGTCAAAAAGTGTTGACACTAAGTGCTCCTGGCTAAAAGATAATGCAGGTAATTATTGCTTAGGTGCTTTTTCTCAGAATCGTTTAAAGCAACGCTTTGGCGGAAATAAAATTACACAGTTTTCCCCTCCCTTTATTTCAAGTTTTCCCCTTACCTTGAGAATATTTGTTCAGCCAATATATGTTAAGTTTACTTTAGTTTTAGCATTGGAGCTACGAAGTTAATGCTAGTTAAGAAGCAATAGAAATTTAAAGCTACCAGGTTAGTATTGTGCAAACTGCATGCATAAATCATCAAACAACACCCCCAAACCATGAGTTGTTAAGTAATCTCTAATAGACTCGCTGATGTGACTGTTTGACATACTGCTATTTACACTGTATAGTGGACACGTGACCAGCACACCTATATGAGTTTGTTGGACATCCCATTCCAAAACATGGGCATTAATAGAGATTTAGAGATTTAGAGCCTCCACTCTTCTGGGAAACGTTCCACAAGATTTTGGAGAGTGTCTTTGGGAATTTGTGCCCATTCAGTTAAAAGAGCAGAGGTCAGACACTGATGAACAGACACTGAAGAAGGTGTGGCTGAGAAATCATTGCAGTTCATCCCAAAGGTGTTCAGTGGGGTTGAGGTCAGGACTCTGTGCAGGCCAAATTCTAAATCAAAAGTGATCTTAAGTTAGGAATCTCACTGCCAAAGGGCAGAGAGGACGTGATTTGAATTCCTCATCTGTATTCAGACTTATTCAACCTTGCAAACAGAAAAAGCTGGTAGTTCTGGTGACGTACGAGC